ATGTAAATGAGTGGGCATGGCTATGTTCTAATAAAACTTTATTTACAAACCCCCATTTACATATTTACAAAACTTTATTTACAACCCCTCATATTTACAAAACTTTATTTACAAACCCCCACTAAATGTGTTCATTTAGTCTACATTAGCTATTGCAATGACTTCGTATTGCCTTATGCTATTTGCAATCAAGATATTACTAGACAAAGAGTTGGCAAAGTACACAAGAGCTAAGAATGATTTTTACATTTTTAAAGTACTGTAGCATGCACACGCGCACACACACACACACACACACACACACATACACGAAGAACATGAATGAACAGGGACCATGTGTGGCCAAAAGCCTAAAAGATATACTACCTGGCCTTTTATAGGAAATGTTTGCCGACTTCCGCACTAGACTCACAAAAATAAATTGGGCAGTTTTTTCTTGTTTTTCATTCTCCGAAATAATTTCTCCAAGAAAGAGATTATTTATTTCATGAAAATTTGATAAGACTGATTGTAAAACAAATTGATGCTAGTTTTGTTTTTGAGTCAAGAATATCCTTGATCGTCACCATAAATGATTTTTCTATCATTTTTTTCTGTTTCTTCTAGTGACATAATAGAATCTATTTGTTTTTCAGAAATGTGTTCATTTAGTCTACATTTTCATATTATTTGGCATATCATTATAGGATCACACTCCCCACATTTTCTATATTTTTGCTTATTTTTTGGTGTGAGCTATTTTTGAAAGGATAGCATAAATTTTCAACCATAAAGCTTGTTTTTAAAAAACTGAATTATAACATAAATACAGAAAAGTATAAAATTGTAAGTGTATAAGTTCAGTGTATTATCACAAAGTTAAGACATTCAGGTAATCAGTACCCAAGTTATAAAATAATATCTTACCAGGACACTAGAACTGCCTGGGTGCAACTTCTGAATCACTAGAAACATTTATCTTCAAAGATAACTATCAGAGTTCTCATACCACAGAGTCACTTTGCTAGTTTTTAAACTTTATGTAAATGGAATCATACTATTTATACGTTTTGTGTCTGTCTTCTAACATTATGTGAGATTCACCTATATTATTTTACATTGCTGTTATTCATTCTTTTTTATTGCATTGCAGTATTTCACTGCATTAATACAACAATACATCTGTCTATTCCAGTGTTTATTGACACCTGGGTTATTTTCAAATGAATATAAGTACTATGAATATTCTCATCCTTGTCTTTTGGTACATGGATGTCCTGTACTTTTATTGGACACATTCCCAGAAATTGGATTTCCTGGTCAAAGAGTATGTGTCTGTTTAATTTTAATAGATATAACCAAACAGCTTTCCACAACGGATGCACCAGTTTACACTCCCAGCAGCAGAATCAGAGTTCTAGTTACTCTACATTGTCATCACTGCTGGTACCATCAGTCTTTCTCATGTGAGCCACTCTGAGTGGGAACTAATATCCCATTGTGATTTTAGTTTTAATTGCTCTAATGACTAATACTGTGGAGCAGTTTTTCACAAATGAATTTGATATTTTCTGGAGTGTTTCTTCAAATTTTTTGGCCATTTTCTATTGGGTTGTCTTTTTCTTATTGATTTAATAGGAATTTATTATTTATTCTGGATATGAGACCCTTGCAAATTGCAAACAGCTTCTCCTATCCTGTGATTCACTCCCATTCTCATATCTATTAATACCTTCTGATAAACTGAAATTCTTAATTTTAATGTATCCCATTATCTCTCCCTCTCTCTCTTTTTCACATTAGCACTTTGTGTGTCCCTTTTAAGGGGACACAGCAGGGACAAAGCAGGAATTTTAAGAAATCCCTGCTAACACCAAATTCAGGAACATATTCTGTGTTTTCTTGTAGATCAGCTCTGGCCATTAGAAATAAAACATGAGCCATGAATTTGAGCCACAGATGTAATTTTAATTTTTATTAGCTTTCCTTACCCCAACTCATTTCTTACATGTAGGCTCAATCTTTTCAGTATTTGGGTTACTGGTTCTGCAGAAGCCAGGAAAACAGCCTTGTAGTAATCAGAATGTTATCCAACTGTATATTGTTTACTTTATTGTAAATACTGGTGAACAGTGGTCAATTAATAGTTTTATATTCAAAAAATAAATAAATAAAAAAAAATAAAATAAAACAGGTAAAATTAATATGAATAATAAAAATATTAAGCATTTTTTTTCTTGTTTTTAAAACTTAGATTTCAAATTCTAACCACATTCTAAGATCTGATAACCACATGTGTCCAATGGCTGTGATCTTGGGCAACCCAGTCTAGAAACTCTAATAATGTGCCATTCACATTTACCATCCATATACAATTGATTTTTGTGTGTGGTATTAGGTAGCAAACCTAGCAAGGAAATTAGGTAGCTTATAGAATCAAAGGAAGATCTTTAGAATCCAGGGCCAAACTGGGTCTCTCAGGTACTAAAACAGGGCTTGATGATACTAGGACTTCCTAAGTATCTCTTGTGTCTGCATATTCTCTTATTCTATGAGGATTTTCACATCATGGCGGAGGACTAGCTGCGAGTTTGTTCTGGGGTTGCATCTTTATAACCTCCAACAGATGAGAAAATATAATTCTAATTCCGGTTAGAAACATCCCAGCTCAAGTCACATTCCAATACTCTGCAGCCACAGAAATGATTATTTTTTGCTAGGCCTGGATTATATGCCCGTATTATAATTATGGGATAGAAAGTGTTACCAGAAAATGGTGGCTACTGCAGTATATCATGTCTGTTTTTTCCATGAGATGCTTTTAGAGAGATGGGACTATTTTTTGTGCACAGTAAGCACAAAATAAATATTTGCAAACAGCACTGGAATGGTCTCTTAATTTGACAGGAATGCTTAAAATAAGGACTAAAGGCAGGAGAAAGAATACAAATTCATTTGCTTTGAACTCATTTTTATGATACCCACATATTTGAAGGCCATCCAGATTCATAGTTTACAAGTTTAGGACTGGCAATTATAAATTTGTTAACATTGAAAGTAATTCAACATTTTCTTTATAACCTGCATTTTCTACAAATTTCTGGGTGGTTGAAAGAGGTGTACTGTTGTCTTTGATAGTTATGTGCAGCTTTGCAGAAATTTTGAGTGACTTTCTCTTACATGATAGTACAATCATTTGGGCTATTGGTCTAACATCAGCAACTTTTCTTCACAAGTTTTTTAAATACTGCAAAGGAGGAGAATGATATTTAATATTGAAAGAACATTTGTCCTACTTTATAATTTATCTAACACCCTATCTCAGTGGGGTTTTAGGCTCAACTTATTAGTTCAGTCATTTATAACAAAATTTAAAATTGAAGTGTGAAACTGTGTTAATTAAAAACAAAAAGTTGTTCCCTGAGATTCCTAATGTTCTAACTCGTATTTCTTCAGAGTTACTGTGTTCCTCTTTTTGGGAAACAAAGGCTTCTCCTCTCTTCCTTATATTCATTAATCAGAAGAATTGTGTGAGTGGAAGGATATGTAGGAGGAGGAGAATTGGGAGGAAAAGAATCTTTCTTTAGCTTCCTTCTTTAGGATTTTTGACAAGATTCAATGAGGAAAATGACCCATTTTTATTTTTTGAGCAACATAACAGCTGAGAAAAAGTATTTATTTTGGCTTTATAAACACCTTGACTTGGTATACTCAAAGCAAATTATATAGATTTTAGACAGATAATTTAAAAAGGAAATGATGTACCCTCAATTATTTGGATGGTAAAGCATTGATGTGGTATAATTTTCTCAGGTGCCAACATAACAGTAAATAGCTCCGACCTTTTCTATGCTACTTCCTAATGGCTATTTTTTTCTTTGATCATCCTGACCAAAATGACACCTTCTCCCCCATCCCCTCCCCTTCCCACCCCAGCCCACCTCTCTCACACAGGTTTTTTGTTTGTTATTTACATTCAGAGGTTCAGAAGCATATTTAATGGTGTGTGTAGATATAGCTTCAGGGTAATGATAACATCCGATTCTTCTCACTGAATCCAAAGGCACGCATGTAGCCAAAAGTGATATCAAGGATTTCTTTTCTTTTGGTATTTGTTTATTAGACATTTGGTTGAGAAAGGTAGAAGAGTTTAAAAGCATTTTGTCGTTCTGATTGTTTTGAAGTAAAGATTTTGATCTTAGCTTACATTTTAATGCAATTTAAATTTATAATCAGTGTATTAGTTTATATAATTTAGAAAAAAATCATACTTAATACCATTACCTTCTACAACTATTATTCCATGTTTTCCATGTCAGGCTTTTGCTATATGCATATTTTTATGTACTTATAATTATTACTTACTTTTGAACTTATAATTTTCTTGCTAATTCAATGGAACAATATGCAAATGAATATGTATCTTCTACTTAATCACCTAGTACTGATAAGAATCAGAAAATGACTATTTTTTGGAGTCATTGTGATTTTTAAATTTGTCATACTGAGATGGTGATTTTAAATACTGGTTCATTATTAGTAGTAAGAAATAATTGGATCTTTTAACATTGAGTAAGCTCACAGTTGTGTGACAATTGCGTGACAGCAGTTATACAAAGTTCTAGCTTTGTAAATATTAGATTTGACTGTTGCTAAGTAACTCACAATAAAAAAATTAAAATAGGCACGATACAAATCATGAAATCTCAATTTTGTTGTTATAAACGATGCAGCTTTGGGGTACATTCTAAGAACAAAACAGTTGTGTGTAAAATGTTTTATACGCGAGTTAAAAAAGAAACTCCTTAAAATGAAGTAATCATTTCCTGTTTCATTTTTCATTTGTTTGTTGCTTGAAGAGCTTTCGTCTCTCACTAGGAGTTGCTTTAACTCTCTGGGATGGTCTGTTCTGCATTTACTACTTCTGGATTGGTTAAGATCTCTTTAAAGTGTGTGCTTTGTTCTCCGAAAAGCTGAGGTCAGTTGAGCAACATGCTGCTACTGTAAAAAAAAAAAAAAAAAAAAAAGGCTGAGTAATGCTGAAGCCTTCTCATGTGGCTGATGCAAACCTGGAGAATTTGCATCATCATTTAGCTGTAGTAAGTTGGTGTGACAGGCAGGAGCTTAAATACAAGCCCACGAGGAAGCTGAGCTGGTTTGTAATGATAGGGCAGCGGCAGCAGCAGCAACAGCGGCGGCAACGTTGGTAGAAGGAGGAGGTGGAGGACTGAGAGCACCATGAATACACAGGTGTTTCCAAGTAGTAATTAGATAGCTGTGAAGGATAAAAATACACCTTTGAGTTTTTACCTGTGAACGCAATAGCGCTGAGGGAGACAGTCTGAAAGCAAAGAGGGAGACATCGATCAGTCACACCAAGAGACACCAAAGTAGAAAGTTTGAGTTTGTTTTTTCCCCTCCCTCTGTTTTATTTTCCCCCGAGTGTCACTACTATGGTCAGAAAGCCTGTCGTATCCACCATCTCCAAAGGAGGTTACCTGCAGGGAAATGTTAATGGGAGGCTGCCTTCCGTGGGCGGCAAAGAGCCACCGGGACAGGAGAAAGTGGTGCTTAAGAAGAAAATCACTTTACTGAGAGGAATCTCCATCATCATTGGCACCATCATTGGAGCAGGAATCTTCATCTCTCCTAAGGGCGTGCTCCAGAACACAGGCAGCGTGGGCATGTCTCTGATCGTCTGGACGGTCTGTGGGGTCCTGTCGCTATTTGGTAAGTGCAACTTTTTCCCTGGGGGGTGTGGCTGTGGGGCTGGCAAGTTTGCTCTCTGGGAAAGCAAAGGATAATTTTTGGAGAGTGAATGAATGACAAAGGCTACACCACATTTTATTATTATGATTGTTATTTTTGCTTAGGTATGTGAACTACCCACACACACTGTCCACTGTTGGTGTGATCCTGAATTCTCTCAAATTGCTTCCTGCAGGCTGTACTTTCTTTTCCTGACTAAGACAGACTATTTTCTGACTTTCCCCTGTGGTGATGAGAGCAAAAGCTAACTTTGATGACCCGGTAAAGTACAGGCGAGCTTCTTGTGCCGGGTAGTTGTGCGCAGTTACCTACGTTTGGAGCATTCTGGCAGCAGGCAGGCTGAATGAACACCTGTGAAGTGAAAGCTGGCATGGCCTATTAGGACACAGAGCTGAGTGTTCAGCAGAAGTCTTACTGACTTTTTATTAGTAAAACAAATGGGAGGCAGTCTTTTCCTTTTTATTTTCTTTTTAAGTTCATATGCTTTTCAGTTCCTAATATTCTTTCAAAAGTCATTTACACAGAAAGATGTAGGATGGCACATAACCCAATCCCTATCATGAGTGGTGCTATTGTAATGACCTAAGCATATTTCAAAATTTTTCAACCTCTCATTTCTTTTGAATGCCTATAAAATTCTGCAGTATAAGTTTTGAAACTTCAGTTGGGTGTTAGGCTGCTGGGCTTGCCCAGATCTGTTTTTGTCATCTGTATTTCACTTGGTCTTTGGGGACAAAGATAATTTGTCCACCTGTTCACTGAATTAATCTGAAAAGAACTGGTAGAGGCATGATTATTAATTTTTCTTCACAGTTTATGTCCCTTTATTGATTTGAGAATTAATAGTAAAGAGGTAATAAATGCTTCCTTCATGAGGTGGGAAAATTACTAGAAAGCTGCCTGAGTTTTTTGTAAAGATGACACAAACAGGTGAGTTGTCAAAAAAATTAAATTTGATTTATGCTGTGAGGTAAATGTCTAAAATATATTTGCTCTTATCTGGAAAATAGTGTGCTTTGATTTCCAAAGATACTAAACTTTAAAGTTACTAACTTTTTGTCCTAACTGTAGGACCAAGTATTAACTCTTGTTCCTGTGTACCAATCCATTCATTCTTTCTACTCAGATTTTATGATGTTTTAATTCATTGATTTGAGCATTCATATAGAGAACTAAAATTTTCATTTGTAGAAAGAAGTTATTTTAAATAAAACTTGTTAAAGTCATACTATAGAAATAGCTATAGAGGATGATTTTGAGGTTTTTAGAAAGAGTTTGTAGTATTATTTATGTGAATAGCTTGTGCTTTAAAAATATTTAGTTACCATTGTGTCATTATTCGTTCAGTACTAGTCTCCATCCTTATAGAATAGTTTGGAGTTATATGATTATGAAAAACTGGTAGACTTCTTAGCTATTATTAACATTAAAATGGTTCTGGCACAGGAATTTATAGATAAACAAAAAGAAACCTAATTGTTGATCATCTTAAATGACTTTGAGCACCCTCAGCCTTTAAATCTTCCTACAGCATTTGATATATTCAGAATGAATCAACATCTAATCAAAAAAAGAGACCACAACCAGTTTCCTAGACATTGCATACCTATATGCATGCAGCTCCCACTATGTGATTTAATTTTTGCATACAATAAAAATTTATTCAGATGTCAAAGGATAGATTACTCTGGGTATTGAACTAGTTAAAGTGATGTTGACTTATACTATAAAGATATGCTTACGCATAAGTATATCATCTTAAGCAAAAGCTCAAAAAAAAAAGGAAAAACAGAAAACAGCTAAGGGGACTAGCTAAAGTTACACTTGAGTTGATATTCTTTGATTACTAAGTGCAAGGAGTGTGCATGTGTCTTAATCTACTCATCTATTTGCATTGCATTTGTCACTTAAGTTACTAGGAGCTTTTTGACAGGAGTTCCTCCCTAACAGCAAGCAAAGCAAAATGTAATAAAAAGAAATCCTTCTTTTTCTTTAAATTCTAGAATTCTGGGACCAAGTGTAAAGAATCTGTATATTTGGTTTACAATTTTTTTTAAAGCCAGGGTCAATACATGGATTTTTATAGCTTGTTTTGAACTTTTTTTATCTGGGAAAAATGGCTATGAAGCTTGAAACTTTTAAATGAAAACCATTCCCCCAGAATTCAATTTAAACCTAGGGCAACCATCCTGGAGTTTCAGCAAAGCATACACAGGTCTAGATATTGATTCTCTAACAATAAATTCTGAGGTACTTAAGACTCTTTCCAATAAAATTTTATGTTGTGTGCTTTTCTGGACAGCCTACCAACATGGTGACAGTTTCGCCATAGAGGGTGAATTGCAGCTAGTTATAATTGGTTCTAAAAAGAAAAATTATATCAGCATTCCCCCAATATCAGTCCGCAAACTAGTTACTTCAGAATCATCTGTGGGAATTTTAAAATAATAGAGATTCTTGAATTTCTCTTTTAGAGATTCTATACTTTCTATATTGGAGAGTAGGTCTTGGATATGGTTTTAGAGTCTGTTTTTCATTTTGATGGCTTTTGAATTAAAATTATTCCCAGGTGACTATGATGTAATGCTAGGTTCAGGAATCAAATAAGCGATACTAAGATTTCACTGAATATTCCAATTATATTTATATTGGACAGTTCTCTCTGAGGCATTACTGATTAGTAATAGTTTTCCATATTCCTATTTTCCAAAGTAGCTTGAGTAAAAATTTTGCGTTCTGTTTGAGCACTTAGCAATACAAATAGAACTTTTCACATAATGACAAGATGTATCTTTTATTTTCTTGATAACTAATTGCTCAAATTAGTAAGTATAGCTATATTTCATGCAGTGATTGCCCTGTCTTAGGCCCAGTACTGTCCTTGGTACACGTTGCCATGTTTATACACACAACTCCCTTAAGAGGTGAAAATTGAGATCGCCATTTTACAGGGAATAAAACTGAGGTTTTAGGGGGTTACATAACTTGTCCAATTTCATGTGAATTGTATTGTTAAATGTTAAAAGTGTCATTTATACTTAATTTGATCTAATGTATACAAATATAAAGTATACCATCTTTTTAAAAAGTATGTTCTTTCAACCACCCAGAGTGTACACTTCAAAAACATCCAAGATAACCTTTTTTAGAAACAGCACATTCGAGTCAGAATTCATTTTGTTGAAAAAATACATCCTACAAATTGAATGAAGTCTTGCAAGGCACAGAGTCCATACTTTTGTGAAGAGTAGATAAATTTTATTTATCTTGATTTGCCACAGAAACATCATTTATTAAAAGGGTTCTCAATGTAAAGAAGTCAATTTGGGATAATTCTTTGTCTTGGTGTGAGGTCTAAAAATAGGTCAGTGCTATTGGCATCTGTCTTCTCTTTTCCCCCTATTTCTAGGATTTCAACTCAAAATTCTAGAACATAAGATTGTTTTAGAAGTTTATCATTTCAAGTAAAATGACATTGCTCAAATAGAAGAAACTAGGTCTCAAATGTGAGGAAGTTAGAAGAGGAACTTGGTGGGTCTTAGCAATTAGATGACGGTTGTTAGTCTTGAAATAAGGATGCGAGATTCAGACCAAAGGAGGTAGTTACGTCACATGCAACGTCAACATTGTTGTGTCAATTCTAATGCTGGGTGGCTTCATAATATATTAAATTTATACCAATTTAACTTTTTTGTTATAAATATTACACAGGAGCCTTGTCTTATGCTGAATTGGGAACAAGTATAAAGAAATCTGGTGGTCATTACACATATATTCTGGAAGTCTTTGGTCCATTGCCAGCTTTTGTACGAGTCTGGGTGGAACTGCTCATAATACGGTAAGAATATAGATAGAAAAAAAATTAAGGAAAAATAAATCTAGTCGTTATCTCATTCTTCTGAAACACCTGGATTATTTTAAACTAGTTGGAAATATGCAAGTCATGTGACTAAGTTAAAAACATGTCTACCTAGGGCATAAAACCTATGACAAAATACCTTTCTGGATTAACATTTTTAATGCAGTTTTGTCCCTGAAAAGTGGTTCACCAGCGATGCCAAACTTTTAAAGTATCTGCTTTTCTTCAATCTTCAGTTACTCTCTTTGACATTTCTAGGAATGATGTTTGCTTGAAAGGAAACATCAAAATTCACCTTGATAAATACTACCTTTTGACTAACGAGACAAAATTAAATAGTATGCTAGGAATTGGAGTTTTCTCTTATTGTAGACTGTACCAGTAAGTTATTTAACTTTACTCCGTTTTTGTGACTAAGCAACTTTTGTGTCTAACAATTTAGTGTGTCACCAAATCTTATACTTTATAAAAAATCAAGTTTATGTGACATCAATGACTCACTTCCTCCCATTAAGCAAATCAGGAAATACAGTTGTGAAAATCTTTTTTGATTTTATTGTTGTAAGAATGTATCCACCTTCCTGATTATGTTGGTTTAAAATCAAACCAAATAGTGCTAAGTCACTGTGAAAAGCAAATTCCTTTAACTTTGTGGGAAACTGATGATGTCATATGAGCCATTCAGAATATTACCGTTCCTTAAGGCTAATTGCTTCCATAAGATGTGACTTGCACATTCTGACTACAGAGTTGGTAGAATTAGGGAAACTTCTCAGACATACATAGGTGAGAGCTCACTGAGCTTTTATCTGGTCATTTGTGGTTAAGTGGCAAATGCAGAGCTAATAAGTATTGGATTCACAATAATCATGATTTTTTCTGGAGTCTCTTTTAACAAAGACCTTCAAAGTAGTATATACTTCATTAAGTCTGTTCTTATTGTAAACAGCTCTGCATTGTTTACATTTGTTATAATGAAATAATGATAAAGGAGTGTTTTGTTCATTTTTTTAAAGTCGCTCTACTGAGATATACCTTTGCTCCTTTTTGATTATCTGAACCTTATGTACCCTTCAAATGTCAACTCAAACTCTGTTTTTCCCACAGTTACTTTCCTGTTTATTCTAATTTATTTCTTTCATCTCTTAATTCTTTTGAAAAATGCAGTCTCTGCTTCTCATTTGACATTGAGCATGACTCTTGTGTTCTTACTTAATATTTTAGGTATCTTTATTGTTTCCCTGTTAAAACTGCAAACATTTCAAGCATATAAGATGAGGTTTTACACTTTTTGTAACCCTTTTACTACTTAAGACAGTGCCCTATGTATTGTAGCTATTAAAGTCTTTTTGAATAAGTGATTGAAAGTTTAAAGTTATAATATTGTGAACACAACATACTCAGCATTCAAATGAGTGCATTACTTAGTTCTAGTGCTAGCCCTTTGGCTGGTGGGCCTGATATACTTGGACTGGAATGTATCTTCAGCCATGTATTAGCTGTGTAATGTTGGTTTACTGCTTGGCATTATGATTAGCATGGTCATTCCACCTAAGTATATCTTATATCTTGCAGTAGCAGAGATATGGTATTCATTCATTAATTTATTCTACAAACTATTACTGAGTGGTAAATGGCAAGATAAAGAGATCTAAAGGGGAATGAGCCACAATTCCTGCACCCAAGTCGCTGATAATCAAATGTTGCTTTAATTTGAAGAGAACTGTTTCATGGTGTGTGTGTGTGTGTGTGTGTGTGTGTGTTTATTGACAGAGGAAATTACCTAGATGTATTTTATAAGCTTTTTTTTTTTTTTTCTTGTTTTGGCAGGCTGCCTGAGGTATTATAGAAGCTTTTTAAATGTGTTTATATATCTCTTTGTTATAATGAACTCATATTGCTGGGTTGGTCTTTCAAATAGGCAGAGTAAAAAATGACTTGAGCGGGGACAAGATGTCTAAGTAATTAAACATACTTCTTCTATTACCAATACCACTGGTACCTAAATACTTCACATTAAAATTATACCTCCAGATTAAGTCTGCATTGCCAGAAATAATCTGTAAAACACATATTTCAAGGAAATAAGTATCATCCATCAGCACATAGCAAGGGTCATTAAATTGAATTTACTCATTCACTATATATTCAATATGTGTTGGGTTTCTAGTATATGATAGACACTCTACTGAATACTGGAAATAAAATTATGATTAAGATAAACACAGTCTTATGGAACTTGGGGTCAAGTAGGGGAAAATAGTTCTCAATCAAGAAAAGGTGTAAGTGAATATAAAAGTGCTACTGTGTTGAGTGTTTGGAAGGAAAGCCACGGGCTTCGGTAAGAGTATACTCCAGGAAATCTGGCCCACTCAGAGGTTGGAGAAGCTAGAGGTTGGAGAAGCTTCCCTGGGCAAAGGAAGACTAAGCCGAGATCTGAAGTAAAGAAAAAATAGTCAATGAGTTGAAAAATCTCCAGGCAAGGAAATTCAGATCCTTCTAGTGGGAGAAAACCAACTGAAGAGGTAGAAAGGGCTTAAACCATATGGAGTCTTAAATGCAGTGTGAGGGATTTTTATATATCCTGAGCATGTTTTGAAAGTGCTAAAATGACATTATCAGATTATAATTTCCACATCAAAAATTATATAAATGGTTGAGAACAGGAAAAATAGTTTTGTTTAGAAGGAAGAGGAAAGGGTCTCTAGGAAAATAAGAAAATCAAGAAATTTATGGTACTGTCCAGTACCATATGTTAAATAGCAATACTTCCAGGTAGAAAAAGTTTAGTGAATGCTATATTTTTTCCTGTGTTTAACCTAAATGTATATATTTTTTTTAGCCCTGCAGCTACTGCTGTGATATCCCTGGCATTTGGACGCTACATTCTGGAGCCATTTTTTATTCATTGTGAAATTCCTGAACTTGCAATCAAGCTCATTACAGCTGTGGGCATAAGTAAGTATTATAGATATAAGTGTGAAAAAGAAAATAATAACACAAAAGTGATTGGAGACAAAGTGTCCAATCACTTTTGGACAAAAAGTCTTTAGACTTTTTGCACAGTGGGACTGCTCCATATGCCATCTTTTTTTTTGCTTATAGTTCCAAATGTTGGAAGATAAACAAAAGGATATGCATTTGAAGTAGTCTCTGATATTATATTTCATACTAGTTTTGCATTGGGTCAAAAGATACAATGGTGTATGGGTCAAGGAGAAAGTTAGCTCTTTGGTTCCTGAAAGTTTGCTGAAAAATCAAATCACAGAAGGCAAATTAATTGGAGAAAAGCTATACAAAATTAATTTAATGTGTATAGATAGAAGCCTTTAGAATGAAGACCCAAAGATACAGGGGAAATTATGCTTAGGCTCAACAAAGTATGGACAGCAGTATAAAAATATGATTGGATAAAAAGAGTATGATCTAATTCTAACAGACTAAGTGGGAAACCCAGCAAGCCTTGTCTGTCTAGATTCTTCTTGGCCTTTCTGAGCATATATTCTTTCCTTCTGGGTATGGAGCAAGACCCTCTCTATAATGAGGGCCTTATGACCTACAGTCAAACAAGGTAGATCAGATAATTTTTTTTTTTTTGGCCAATTTTTACACAGAAAAGCAGATGGAAAGTTAGAGTAATATTTCTAAGTTTTATGGCTGGCTTTGGGGAAAAGGGGCTCTGCCTTAGGGAAGAGGGAATGTAGTTTCCATGGCTAGCCTCAGGGGAGAATGAGACTGAAAGACAGGAGGGCAGGAGAAAGTCAGAGAAAAACTTTTGCTTCTGAGGCTTCATTTTGTGGTATTGTTTTCTGAGTGCCAACAATGGCTAATTTTTAAAATAGGCAAACAAAACCCACCTTGTTAATAAAATATTGAGTGGATCGTACATAAAGCAGACTTTTAAAGATGAAAACCCAATTATTTTATGGATTATTAGAATTAGAAATTATTTTACCTCAGCCATACATTAAATTATAACTCATGTATCATCATGGAGTTATGTTTATGTGTTGGATGTGTATCTTATGTTCATACATTTTATAGTGTTAGCAGCTGTCACTTTCAGTGTTATAGTTTTAGCTGTCTAGTGTTGGTCATAAGAGTTTTCTTTCAAGATTTAATGATTAGTAGCATTTCTCAACCAGGAGATTTCTTTATGGCCTTCAAATTAGGAAGTTATTGATCTTTTATCAATGGGCACAGATATTAGAAATTGAAAAAAAAATAGAAATAAAAAGAGGAACATATACAAAATTACATCAGTGATGAACCCAAATATAACCCCACCTTTCTACAGGATTCCAGATACCAAATCCTTGATTATAATGGGAAAGGACAACTTAATTCTAGATGCTATTCAAACCACTGTTTTGAGAATCAATATTGGATTAAGTTTTAACTACTCAGAAATAGAAAGTTACACAGGAATAACTGAAATGCATACTCATGAAAGAATTTTTAGTTATGTATTGCTAAGATGTTTCATTGTCCAACAGAACAATGAAAAGAACAATGCACATTTGACAATAGAGAGGTGAGTGGTTAGTTTTCAGGAAAGCATTAGGAATTACACATAAAAACATCTCTAGTGCTAGGTACATATATTTCTGAACTTAAATATGTTCATTTTGGATTTCCTGCTTTATTCATAATGTATGCACAATTGTTCTCCTGTGAAAGCTGTGAAATGACAAAGAAAAATACTCAAAGTTGACTTTTCTGAGTTCTGGAAAGGTACTGGTGTACTTGATTCAATTTACCTTTAACAAAACCTACAGATATGATACTTGGGGGCAAATCACCTAACATTTCTGTACTTTCCTATTCTTATGTGTAAATCATGCCAGTATTTTGGGTGTTACAAGGATTAAATGATATTAAATGAGACAATATATGTAAATTGTTTGGAGATGACTGTAATTTATTAAGAACACAATACAAATAATAGCTATACTTTTTGGAAAAACATCATTTGATGTTTCATGAGACTAGGAACCTATCCAGTGCTATATTTCTAGTCCCTCAAAAATCATGTAGCATGTTGTTTGTGCACCATAATTATTTGTTTACTGGCTGATTTTATGAGAAGAGGTCTAAGAAATATTTCTTTAACAGAAAAGTCCATACTTTGTTTACTTGTTGAACTTGGAGGATTAGATAGCTTCAATTTTCTCAAGCAGTAGGAAAATGGTGGTAAAATGCAATAGAGTTTGGTCAATGATGATGTTCAGATCTAGCACCACGAATTTTTGTGGAATGAAACTTTTAGCACAGTGATTATCGCTCAGGCTCAGGAGGCAAAACCCGGAATTGAAACTTAGTTTCACAATTTCTTAGTAATGTGATCTTGGGCTAATTGTTAAAACTCTTTAAGCCTTGGTTTTATCTTTTGGTAAAATGCCTATGAAAATATAATCTACCATGAATGGATGTGGAAAGATGAAATTAAGTCAGATTTTTAATGCCTTTAACACATTGCCTTGGCCATAGAAAGTTCTTGATAACTCTGGTGTTCCATAAGGGATTGGACTACCAGCAATGATTATATCTACCATATTCTGGTTCCTTGAATAAGTGAGTCAGAACTATTAATATATTCACAACTATTACATTAAAAAAATGAGAAGGGCAGAGGTAGCATTTTGGGGGGCTCTGTAAGTTAACAACAGAAGTTATTCATTAAAAGCTATAATCAGAAGACTTTAAGTAGATACTATATAAACATTTACAAATCCACAAATTTTGCCCACTTTGGACTTGAAATTAGATGGATAATAATAATATATTTTTTATGAGTCGAAATGACTGTCTTCTTATTTATCCCAATTCTATTAAACAGTTCAAAGGGAAAATTTGTATTTTAGAGGATTAAATGGAAAACTGTTCAAACCAATCTCTAAAGCAGCTGTGGGAAAGGATAACCAAGCATGTTGGGTTTTATAAAACATTTGGAGTAGACTGGTCATGGAATAGTTACCAGATAGCCCGAGTAAATCTTAGATGTACCCAGACATTTCCTTCTATTTTTGCCATGAGTTATAACGGTTTATAAATTTTGAGGTTCCTTTTGCAAGCCAGAGATTCTGAAATGTGTTTCATAGTCAGAAGCTCTGAAAAATAAACTTGGATGTTCTTATGACTCAGTGGTAGGTAAGGGAAATCAATAGCCTAATTGGGAAAGTCAACATGTCTTTAAGAAGAATTTAGCTTCCATGGAGCAAAGGGAGTGGATATGGAGATAGAGAAGGAGAAATTTACCTAGGGACAAATTTCTCACATCCTGCACTCTTCAAAGTGAGTGTAGGTGATTTTTCTACCAATTAGGGGTGGAAGGTTACTGAGATGTAGAAAATAGAGTTAATTGCATGAATTGCTTCCTTGTGATCCTTGGGGAAGGAAACAGTTTGTGGTAGTTTGAAATCTCTAGTTAAGTGCAGAAAAAGCACAAGTCTGAAGGGTCTTGTTAAATCATCGAAGAATAGAATTTCAAATTTTATGAAATGTTAACCAACCCTTTGAGGAATGACAATGGGCTGAGGGTGGGGAGTTAACTAAATGCTGATTTTACCCCAGTGTTTAAAGAACTATACTTCATTTCTGTTAATAAAAATGAAAAGCTTTTGTTTTTCCCAAAAAAGCTTTTTTTTTTTTTATCCCAAATCCTGTTTATTCTGGTAAACATGTGAAACACATGAGAGTTTAGCTAGAAAATCTTATATATTCACATTTGGTTGCTCTCTTATAGCCTGATACTGACATTAGTCATGTTTCCTTTGGTGGAAGTCCATGGATTTTCACTGCTCTTGTGGCTTCAATCAGCATAGAAGTATATTAAATATTTAAAATATTTAGTATGTTCTGTTCTTCTAAAACTAGACCCTTTATAAAGATATACTAGAATGACAGAACATTATAAAAAAATACTTTCCTTAAGATATGAGATCTAGTCCCAGATTAGTCCCTTCCTTGCTGATTCATTTTATACAGATAAGTTAACAGCCCCATCCTACTTTTCAAAACTTGTAGAAGTAACTGGGAGAAACAAGCAAAATAGCATTTGTGATTGCATTGTGAAAAAAAAAAAACCCAGTTCTACAAATATATTTTAGATGTATATTTTCCTGGCACCACCAAATTACGTGAAAGAAAATCCAATACTATTTCTATGTTAGCATTTCAACTATAGCCGTGAAGTGGCTCCATTTAAATCTTCTGAAGTCTGGGTATATCTACTCTTCTACCACAACTACATTACCAAGACAACCAATTCTTAGGTAGATATGCATAGTATTAAAATATACAAGTACTACAGAACAAGCATCATATTCTTTAGGAGGATGACAAATAAATGTGAACTCAAAGTGTCCTGAAATTCCAGTTAGATAAACATAAACCTTTGCAGAGAGGAAGAGGCATCATGAGTTCAAAAAAACTAGGTATACTAGTAAGATCATATATGTCTTTTTTTCAGAATATTATGGAGGTACAAATGATTTGGTTACATAAATTGCTTTTGTACCGTGCCCATCCCCCAGATAGTATGCATTGTACATGTGAATTTACCCTGTCCCTCTTCCCCCCTCCCACCTGCTTGATTTTTGATGAATGTTATTTCGATATATGTCTTTTGAGCTACTTCCTCATTGTTATCTGGGCATTAATGGTAGAAATGTGAGCAAGTTAAATAATATCTCAAGTATCAGCTGCTTATCTGAAAAATAAGGCCAACATTAGTAACCATGTCATAGAAATATGAGGATTAAATAACATTATCCATGTGAAGTCTTTATACAATGTCTGCCATAAAATAATAGTTTACATTTATGTGATGCTTACCATTTTCATTCCCAATAGTGACATCCTAGATATTGATGATCCCCCTGCTTTTTAAAGGTGTTTATTGCTACATACCCTTTCTGAACTTAATGTATCCAGGAAATGGATCTTAACAAAAAGAT